TTTCAGCAGGCTGCACACTCAGGGACACCAACCTGCAAGTTGCTGGTATATTTGGTGGGGTGAATGGGAGGATGAGCTTGGTCAGACTTATTTCCATTGCGTGGGGTAGGGCCACCCCGTTCTAGAATGCTCTGGGCAAAGGCCCCCCAGTGTGGATCCTGTGTTTGCTGTTCCACCAATGCCATCAAGTTTAAGTCTTTGGGGAAAATGTTTGTCTCTGTTCGGGGATAGCTGATATACCTAAAAGAAAGGAAACAAAAAGAAAATGCTAAATTCTTTCTTTGGTCTTTAAAAACTATCCTTAGATAACACCTGCAATCAGTCATCTGATAGCCAACTCAAAAAAAAAGTACTTACAAGACGCACACTGACACAAGGTTTAAGATAGCATCCCTTAGGAGCGAAGAGCAACAAGTTTTCTTGTGAGAATACGTCAAAAAGCCAACGCAAAGAGGAAACAACACAGTAGAAGATAAAGGCCTTCTCTAGCAATACTGTAGCCTTGGCCATGTCATTAGCCTCTCTTAGGGTTTGTGGTACATTAGTCTTGCCAGTCCTGACAGGGTGTAACTGCTCTTTCTTTCTTTCTTTCTTTCTTTCTTTCTTTCTTTCTTTATTTTGTGGAACTGGGAATTGAACTCAGGCCCTTGTGCTTGCCAGGGAAGTACTTATTCTACTGAGCCATCTCCCCAGCCCCTGTACTTTTTAAAAAAGCATACAAAGAAAAATGCTGTTCAATAAAACTAATGTAGACTCTATAACTGTACATTTTCTATGCTACTTTTTTTTTAGATTCTTATATATAATTTTATTTCACTTAGGTTTATTTGGAGAAGTTAAATTTCTGCCAAAACTGTGGCATCCATCAGTGTGCCCATGGTTACTGTTTTTTTTTTGGAACCGGGGATTGAACTCAGGCCCTTGCACTTGCCAGGGAAGCACTTATTCCACTAAGCCATCTCCCCGGCCCAATTTTCTATGCTACTTAAAAAAAAAGAATTATTTAGATAAATTAATGGCAGAGTGCTGGCCTAGAATGTGTTTGGCCCTGGATTTGGTCCATACTCCTGCAAAAAAAAAATTAAATTATTGATAGTTTCTATCTTATTTTCATATAAGTCTTCAAAATCCAGTATATATTTATAATACATCTTGATTAGGACAACTAAAAGTTCAAGTGCTTAACAGTCAGGGAACCTCAGTGCCGGGGTACTCATGGCCAAGGCAGGGATGATTTTCACAGGCACACAACTTATAAAGGTGCCACTGCTATTGGTTTGTCTCTAGACAGGGGTCTAGGGAGTCACCAAGGGGTCAAGAGTAGGATTTCGTAGCTCAGTGATAGAAAGTGTTTGCACAGTATGTACACTCTCAGGTACTGACAGAATATTTACCCTTGAGTGTAGAGCTTTTCAGCAATTCTCATAGTTTCCTTAGCATTTATTCTCAATTTTCGAGAAGCCAGTTTCTCCAACTCCTGTTAAGAGAGTCAAAAGGTCTGTTAAGTTACAGGAGAGTCGGGCCCACACAACTACACAATACATCTTCAGCAGGCCTGGCCTGTCATTCTACCTGCTGTCCTCATGTGAGAAGAACTGTGCTCACAGATTTTTGTGCCAGGTAGGCGGATGCCAAGCAGTGGTTCTCAGACACTGATGTGCAGCCCTAAGACTAACCTGGGAGCCAGCAGATTTATGGGCTCAACCACTGGAGACTATGACAGGGTAGGGCTGGGCTAGAGGATGACGTCTGTATTTTTGGGTCTTTTTTTTTTTTCAGAACTGGGGATTGAACTCAGGCCCTTGTACTTGCCAGGGAAGCGTTTATTCCACTGAGCCATCTCCCCGGCCTGATGTCTGTATTTTTAATATGCAGTCTAACACACACACGCTAACATAGACAATTTGAGAAATACACTTTGGGAATACTACTCAAGTCCTACAAAATTTCCCTGAATAATGAAAAGCATCCTGTGAGGCCTACTAGGGAATAGCTAGCTGTTCTTTTCCCTATGTGACAGTCCAATAATGAGGCCTACTAGGGAATAGCTAGCTGCTCTTTTCCCTGTGTGACACTCCAATAATGCTGCTGACCACATGTGAAAGTATATTTAACTAGTGAGGTATAAAATACACATTGTGCTGGGGATAATAAGCTTAATGGCAGAGTGCTTGCATGGAAAAAACCAAGCTACTCTAAACACAATGCTATAAAAATAATATATTAAAAAAAAAAAATAGGAAGGCCGGCGAGATAGCTCAGCCGTCTAAAGCGCCTGCTTAGGCAAGCTTAGGCAAGTGCAGGGACAGGGACAGGGTTCGATCTGGTGCAGCCCCGCCCTGGGGGCTGAGCCAGCTTAAAAAAAAAAAAAGGTTAAAAAAATAGGAGTCAGGTATTGTGATGCATGCTAGTGATCCCAGGTGTGAGGCTCAGGAAAGAAGATTAAGAGTCTGAACCCTACACAGGCTGCTTACTAAGTTTTCAAATAAAGAAAAACACACACAAAAAGGGCTAAAAGACACAGCTCTGTGTGATGTTCAATCCTAGTACTATGAAAAAAAAGGTATCAAAATTATGCCAGTGATTATGCAAAGGTAGAAAGATTATAGATCATTTGTCTTCCTGTTTCTCAAACCTCACCTAATGCAGTCATGTTGCATTTGTTAACAATTTTTTTTTGGTAGATGTACTAGTGATTGATTATATTTGTTAATTTTAAAGTTAAAACAAACAAACAATAACAAAAAACATTGAGGTCAAGCAGGTCCATGTCTTGAGTGCTTTGTGTAAGTAAAACTGCAGCCCCAACAACAGGAAATAATTGTTCCTTAGTGCCTGTAACAGGCTATCTAGAACATACCACAGTGTCCAAAGCTTGAGGCCTCCACTTGCTCTTTGGTTTTGACCTGACTTCCACTACAGTTGCCATGGGATCCTACAAGATCAGGAAAGCAAAGACCACATTAACTTGGGAGTGTGTCATGTCTAACCTGGTAGAGCGGCCTCTGTTCACTATTTCAGGACCATAATGACTGCTAACAGATGCCACAGCCCTCAGCCCAGGAGTGCCCCACTTTAAGTCATTTATAACAGACAGTGTGGTAGACTCTTATCACCCTCTTCTCACTTAACGAAGATTTTTTTTTTTGGTGGAACTGGGGATTGAACTCAGGCCCTTGTGTTTACCAGGCAAGTGCTTATTCTACTGAGCTATCTCCTAGGCCCCTTAAATGAAGATTTTGAAG